GATTGCTGGCCGTGTATCTGTTGCTGTTGCACTGTGAATATGTGGGATTGTTACCATGTTGACGTACAGAGCATTCAAACGAACAGGTTTCTCGACAGTTGAAGCTGAACGTAAATGAATTTTGATTGCTAACAGTAGCGGGCTTTGAAGTTATGATAACGATGGGTGGTGTGCGGTCTGAAAAATGAAATAAAGAAAAAACAGCAAAACCTAAGAAGGCATTGAATTTTTAATCTATGCATCGATAATGAATTTCGGATTGAGCTTTCTATGTCTTTCTTTCTGCGTCGTGTAAGTTACATTGAAAAAGCTGCATATTCTCTAAGACATCATCTCTCAATCACGAAGTTGCTTCACTGGTTTCATACATAGTTACTTTTTTCAAAAGATGATAAACGAACCTCCTTTGATCAAATCGCTTGGCTGCCATAACTATTATCGTTTCAGTACCCTCATCAAGTGTTTGTCTCCATTTCAATAGAAAAATTAATTGTTTCGACATATCTACCAATCATGAATGTCTGGCTGGCGCCGCCGAGTTTTCCGCCAGTTCCGTTTACTGAACAAAAATCATTTCAGCATCCTATTCAAGCTTTTACCTCCATTTCAGTGGTTTTAATAACACGGGTCTCCACTCTCGACATACCTACAAACCATGAGTGTCTGGCAGGCGGTGCGGAGTTTCCCGCCAAATCTGTTAACTGAACATAAATGCTGTAGAAGCCCTCGGTTAGATTGCTTCCAGTCCACGACCAATTGCATGGCTGACCAAACAGCAGGGAAGGAGTTTGCACTGTGCACTGAGCTGTAACATTTTCGTTTGCTGTCCAAGTGATTTGAAAGTCACCCCCGGAACGAGATGGAGCATTAATGAATGTTAAAACAGGTGGGGTGATATCCTCTGTAAAAAGACAAATAAGTTGATGATGATAGTGCAATAACAAGAGATTATAAACAGTTTATAATCAATTAACAATAGTTGTTGGTAATATCAGAAATAACAACGTACTTATCTTTATCCTCATGGTGTAAGGATCTGTGATGGCAGGCGACTCAGCACCACAGTAGGTAACACCTTTAGCCACACCTGCAAGGGAACCAGAAAATATCGTCAATATGACATTTGCTTTGACTTCAGGCTTGATTAAAAACCTTTGATGCAGTTTCTCAAATCTTTAGCCGCTTTTTCTGCAACAAATGTTCTTAGGACAAAGTTCTTAGATCATGGAACGATTTGGAGAAAACACGATTCTCCTCCGGCCTTCAATAGGTACAGTTATCAAATTGATAATTCAGGAAAAGTTTGGAGAAAGTTGTATGGAAGCGATTTCATTGGGTGATAGGTTCAACATCTGTTACATAAACTGTATGATCATGATATAAATCCAGTATCCTTACCATGATCCATTGTTAAATAGTAACTCTCTTTCTCTGTAAAGGTCAGCGACGTCGTGAACTGAATAGTCCGCCCCAGACTCCCAACTGGATACAACACCCCGGCAGTAATGGCCACGTCAACACTGAAAACAACTGTGCCGTCAGATCGATGGATCCGGATGTGGCTGCTTCGTGTAGGACGCACGAACTGTAATAAACATTTTGATAGATTCAAATCATATTTCAGCATCAAATACCACAGAACCTATAAATTTCAGCCGGTGTTCTATTCTAGGTTTCAATCATTATGAAACTCTCAAACTCCCTCAGATAATACTTCAAGGCACCTGTTTGTCAAAAGTGATGGTCCATTGACTTGTGTCGGGAAGAACTTCTCCTTGTGGTGAGAGACTAGCAAATTGTGGAGGCGCAACTAGCAAAAAAAATAAATAAACATAGGCAAGTTAGGCGTACAAACCATGTGATCAACCGACATTAGAAATTAAAATTTCAATCCTCGTTCCAATCTGAAACCTCACAGGGGCCTTGTTCGACGGCCTTGAGCGTGGCTATGGGCCTGGTAAAGCAGACACATCGAGTCCTCTTCTTTGAAGTCAACGACAGAAAAATGACTACGCGAAAACTGTGGAACCGTTTTCGCCATGAAAAAATTAGAATTAATTCAATGACAGTCTGTCACGAAATGAAGGAGAAGACCCGGTAGTCTGCTCAAAGAGAAGAGACGAGTGATCGCAAAAATTCCAGTTGGCCAATCAAGCGGTTAATCGGGAAATTCCAGTGTGCCAATCAGATTAATCGAGAAATTCCGGTGGGCCAGTCAAGTCAATCGGGGAATTCCAGTGGGCCAGTCAGATTAATCGAGAAATTCCAGTGGGCCAATCAGGTTAATCAATCTTTACTTCAAGTAACGGTAATGAATTAAGAAAACTTTTACCTCCAACAAGCAGATCGACGCATCTCTGTTCAGTTGTTACCCTAAACACAACAAATAAACAAAATTGATTGCTGAAATTCCATAAGTAAATTAAAAGGTTTATAAATGAAAGAAAGAAAGCCTTTCACAACTCTCATAAGATAGCTAGCACACCACTTCTTTAACAAGTTAAAGTGATACTCATCTAATTTCTCTTCACAGTATCACCCCTGAATCAAACATCAAGGTCATGAGAATAAGGTAAGTTATTAGCTCTTGATTGTTTGACAAATTCTCCTTGTAAGTATCATAAGAAATGTATCGAGAACGGTACGGAGAACTTGCATTCTGATGTTAGGGGGTAAAGGGTGAAATCGTATGTATTTCTTTCTATAATATGAACAATGTTTTATGTTTAACCGTGAATACAAGACAAAAAGACCAATGATACGAATACCCGGAATCCTCCAATCCCGTGAAACAAAACAGTTTGGTCTCTATCTCTGATGATATCGGTGTCCACGTGACATTAACGTAGTATTCCTGTGGTGCATACTGAGCCACAGGAGACTTGATGAATCCCTGAGGACTGTTGGTAGTGACCTCCACAATTCTGGAATGATATTGCAAATACAGCAGGAAAAAATGAGAACTGTGAATATATTTCCCTCAAGTTGCTTTAATGCTAAGTTAATCGCTTTTTGAATGCAAGCGAACGTTCATTCACTCGTCGAGAAAATTTAAGGGACAACTTCCTTTACATTTCACCTGCAATTTACGAGGTAGCCCGCGCAACTAACGGAACCTTTAGAGCCAGTACATCTACTTGGACTGTCTTTTACTTTTTGTTACCTTTTACCTTTTTGATGGTCCACCGGCTCGCACGATGATACGATCGGAGTATGTTCCTCCAGGAGGGATTCCAATACACGATCCCTCGGCCCGCGTGTATTCCGTGAACTCCGGGCGTTCATCACACGTTTCGTTTGAGTTGAACACGTACACCAAAAACTGCAACGGAATGCCACTCAATGGCTGTGAGTCTGTTGGCGAGGCAAAATCTTCGATCATGGCAGCAACAGCGTAAAAGCCAATGTATTCCGTTGCACTGTAGGTGATTCTGCATTCGCGCTGTATCAACAGAAACAGTGAATGTATCAGAGGAAAAAAAGTACAAAATATCATGAAGAATGGCGAAACACATGTATAAGATAAAGCGACACAAAACACTACATTCTTTCTCGGGGCACCACTACCCAGCAGACCAAAGAAAAAATATCCCTTGTTTTGTTACGCATGTTTTCCGGCACGTTTTGTGGGAGATTATAAATGATCTTTAATGCCGTAACTGATACGACTGACTTTGAAAACAAAGATCTACCTGACCAAAAGTGAGTACATCACATAATCAAAAATCATTTCGCAGCGCAGCCCTCGGAAAGGAGGCTAAATTTGATTGATAACATGCAAGTTCAGCTGATAGAAATGAGACAATAATCGTACGTCAAACATGTATGCATTTGGTAACCCGTTTCCTCCACATATTCCGCCACACTCTCCAGCGTTACTTTTCGCCCAACGACACCGCACTTCGTCTTTGTCATCGTCGGACACTAGACAAAAATGTAAAATATAGTTTTAGTATTTGTGGCGAAATAAAAAAGATGTAAGTAAAAGAAGAAAGACGTTCTGAAAAGTTTCATGCAAAACAAACAAACAAACAAACAAACCAACAAAAACAAACAAGGTTTCACATACTAAGCACCAAGAGAATCAAAAACAAGAGGGCCTAAAGGCTATAAAAAAAACTCGAAACAAGATCGAGAACTAGAGGAACAAGAGAAGAAGATGAAGAATAAAAAAGAACGACAAATTAAACAACATCAAGCTTGTTGTGAATATGTGAGTTAATTATATTTTTTGTGAATTATGTGTTGAAAAGAAGATAAGAAATGAGGTAATGATTTAAAAGTGATATGATATTATTATAAGATACAAAAATGAGATATGTAGATAATCAGTGAATTTTTTCGATACTGTGAATGTTGATATAGTTGTTCATTGACAACTTGATGCATACATTATAAATATGTGAGTTAGTTTTATGTTATGTTGATTGTATGTTAAAAAATGGAACCAATGTAATTTACTGTGTTAGAGGAAAATCAATCCTTTCAATAACTCCACAAAACCCAATAAAGGCAAAAGATTCTTCTCAATAGAATATTCAGACCTCAGAAGAGCACAAAGACTTTATCAGCAAGAATGCTTTTGAATGTGATTCTTTACACAAGCAAAGTCAATCTCTTGTGAAGAACGATCAATTAAACACGAATATTCATTCTTGGGTGAAGGACAAAAACTCTCATGAGGAGACTCAGAAACTGACAATCTTCTCAAACAAGTATTGTGTCTTCAGGAAAGAGCAGTAATTCTTCTGATAAGCTTGTTTAAAAAATGAGATTCTGCCTAAATGGATATCATATTGTGAGGAGAGCAGTGTTTCTTCTTAGAAGAATACCTGATTAATTGGTTCTTGACAAAAGAATTTTGTTCTTGTGGGAAAAAAACTAATATTCTTCTTACAAGAATCAGACATATATGAGATTCTACTCATAAGAATCCCTTATCTTTGGAGAGGACCCACAGTTCTTTCCTTAAATGGATATCATCTTGGGAGCAGAGAAGTGTTTCTTTTCAGAAGAATACACCATTAAATGGTTCTCGTTCTTGTGAGAAAAAAATTAGTATTCTTGTGACAAGAATCAGACATACACGAGATTCTTCATATAAGAATTATTAACCTTGGGAGAAGACCCATGTAGCTCTTTCCTCAAGAACCAGGTTTCTTCTCTTCAGAATTATAATTCTCCTCTGGGGACGAAGAATCTGAAATGATAAATTCTTCTCTGAAGAGACATGAATCTTTCGGAGAGAATTTAATTCCTGTTCAAAAGAATTGAACTTAAGGGTGATTTCGAGTGCAAGGTAAAAAGAGAGAAGATATGACTGGGGAAGGAGAAGTTGGTAAACTTGCATTTGAGGTATACATCCTAAGGTTTACATACCTGGGATAACTATAGAATGGTTACAGCCGTATTTCAAACGAACGATTGGTGTCATTGTCGCCACTGGCGACGTATTCAAACGTCCAGTGTCACTTCTTTTTGTAAGGTTAACGTACATTCCAATCTCCCATGAAGCTCCTAATGCATGCACGAGAGCAATCCAGTTTCTTCCTGAATAACTGCAAAAAGCAAAAAGAATAATCATCGATTGAATATCGAGAATTCGAGATTGCATTTTTGTTTACATTTTTGGCTAAACTTCGCTCTGGTTGGTCTACGTAATTGCACTCAAAATCACTGACAATCTTATTTCCCCCGCCCTTCCAGGAGTTAACTTAGATTCCCCATTGGCTCCTTTGATATGTACCTTTCCTCCGACTGGCTACCAACGATAATAAATTTGTTTTAGATTCTGCGACACCTCATCGAAATGCACTCTAATCAGTATCTGATTCCGTATTGGTACACCTCTAAAAGTCCTCTCCCCTCCTCCTCCCTTATATCAAGCAGCACCCCTCCCTCTTTTAAAAAGCCCCCGGTCTGGGACTTCAAGTTTTTAATAAGTACTCCCCTCACTGAACCTCACTCTCAGTTTGGACTCGGAAAGCCTTCTCAGTGATTTTAAAGATGCTTAATGATCACAAACCTGACTCTATAGTAGCGAGATGATGTGACGGGAAACGTATATTCAAAGCTGTTAGTGCCAGTTGTCCAGTCCTCTTGTACACTGAAATCCGAGCATTTGAAGCGTAAATTCCCGACGCTGCCAAAGCAGCCGGATCTGCACTTTAAGTAGCCATTGATGCCGACCAGCGAACCGGAGTTTATTGTATTTTGGTCACAGAATGTGTTCCCAGAGTAGGATCTTCGCCAACCCATCCGGAATTTTATGATCACCTGAAAATAGATTTAAATTACTGCAACATTAGTTTAAAACATACCGCTCGGTTGGCTCTGTTGGTTTAGTGATGGGGTGTTGGGTACGAGAGAGAATAAAGGTTTAAACCTCAGACAAAACCAACTCTAATGTCTTGAAAGAGATAGGAAAAATGTTTTGCATTTGAGATCTCGTCGGTTAAAAATTTTCTGAAAAACCTTTGAACTCAAACACTTGCTTAAGGACCTCAAGAAAGAACTGCAGGGACTTTTTCAGCCTTCAGAAAACGGGAAAAATAATTTAAATTTGCCAAAATGAATTTTTTCGAATTTCGAAAACAGCGCTTACATATGGTATGGTCTAAGACATGACCTCAACAAAAAGTTTTATTGGCAGGACGAAGACAAGACAATCGGCTCCTGGACGAAGACCGTTTAAAATAGGAGTACGAGCTCCACCATAAAGAGACATGCGAATTCCGTGATGCCCAGAAGAGACAAGACCGAATAGTCGAACCGTTACTACAACAGCAGAAACATTTCCTTAGCAGTAAAGGTACCGGAACCGGAATACTCGGAATACCCGGAATACCCGGAATTCAAAGAATGACCGAGAAAGAATAAATTTTAAAAAATAATTAATCAGTTATTAAAAGTAATAAATTTTAATCAATAAATAGTTAATTAATTAAATAAAAATAAAAATAAAAAAAAAGAATAAAAAAAGAAAATCATTTCTTTATAAATAAAACAAAATAAAATTTTCTCACCGATACAATGCAGGGGACCACGTGACGTAACAAAAAATAACTACTTATGGCACTGTTCGCGGGGATGCACGTAGTAGAACTTCATGTAGTTCACAGTCTACAAAAACAAACTGATACCGAAGATTGCTTCATGGTAAATAAACCAGAAGCGTGGTTAATTATTGACAGGCCTCGAGCACTCTGGGTTCTAAGCGGAAAAGTGGACGTAGATACGGTTAATACTTGGTGAGCGAACCCAAAGTGTGATCGCATTATTCCCTGTTTGAAGGAGGTTCTTTTCTAAGTAATTTGTGTAAGATAAAACGACTAAATTTATCTGGGTATAATTTATAATTGATAGTCTTGTGACACACTTCCGTTCATTGCCCAACCTCGCAACCTTGCAACTCAATCAGTCTCGATTCTCGCTTGCGCTTATTGCGATAAGTTATACACTGGTGAAACAGGAAGACGACTAGGTGACCGATTCCGAGAACACCTTCGCGACGTGGAAAGAAATGACAAGGACGCATCCAAACCAGTCGCTAGACACTTAAATCTTCCCAATCATTCTAAACAACATATGGCAGTTTGCGGCCTTTCCTTACATCTAGGCAGTTTGGAAAGCCGCAAAGCACTAGAAAAAAAATCTATCTTCCAAATCGGCACTCTTAATCCTCATGGTATCAACGAACGCGTTTCATTCAACTAATTTATTCTCGTTTTCTCGTCACCATACTTCCTCCACTAGCGTAGCTCCACTTTCTGCATATAAACCCACACACAACCCACAATTCCTCCAATCGCTCTGACGAAGGGCTAACGCCCGAAACGTCAGCTTTTTTACTCTTTACGGTAGCCAATTTACGTTTTCAACTTAGTTGTTAACACTAAATTACCAGTTTCTAGGAAAAATGTTCAGTGTGCTGCGTATCAAGACGTTAATTAGCCCGATAAGGTAATATTTCCGCACAGCCCCATCCTACATTATGCATTCAATTCTTGAACAGAGAAAACAATGACAAAAATAATACATTGCCATTGGGAAAACAGATTTGTATTACAATAGTATGAGGCTGTGCGGAAACTTCACCTGGCTGAGACATAGATGATTAATAACCATTGATGCAAACATTACCATTGCCATTAGGAAAACAGATTTGTATTACAATAGTATGGGGCTATGCGGAAACTTCACCGATGAGGTAAATTCACTGCTGGAGCAAAGAACTGAGAGAGTAGCGGCGAAGTTTCGAACGTTTGCCTCTTCTAATCGATGCCGTTACATAGCAAACTAGCCTTTTAAGTGCCTCATCAAAGGTTCTTTCCTCCCAGATTTGGGAAGGCGGTAATTGAGTAATATGGCTGAGACGTAGATGATTAATAACCATCGATGCGAACATTACCATTGCCATTAGGAAAACAGATTTGTTTTATAATAGTTTCGGGCTATGCGGAAACTTTACCAACGCTGGTACTTTCAAGTTCGAACATTGTCTAATATCCGTGAAAAAGGAGTCATGATTCGCCTCGTAATTTATCGCCAGATCGTTTCATCCCCAAAGTTTAGATGATAGTCACTCAATCTTGTCACTCAAATGTACAAAGCGATCGGGAAGTTGAATTAACAACAAGTAGAAAAATGCCAACTATGATAATTCGTGACCGCAAGAAAGAGGCAAAGCATGAAAGTGTGAAAATTAAAAGGATAGTTTAAGATTTACATAGTGTAATTGTTGATTCAAAGAGGATTGTTTTCTTTGAATTTTAATAGCCCCTTGTTGTCTCGATTTATCATAATTAGCATTTTTCTACTTATTATAAATTCAACTCCCAACGCTTTGCACAATAATTAACTGAAGATGGCAGAGGTTTCTGTTTCTTGAATTGCCTGCTACTATCAAGACCCTTTGGAAGTAATTATATTCCGAGAAGGAATCAAGAATTGCCTCCGAGTTACTTCATCACCCAGCAGATTGGGTAAAATTTCCAAACAGCGCCATCCTACATTATGCATTCAGTTCTTGGATAGAGAAAACAATGACAAAAACAATACATTTCCATTGGGAAAACAGATTTGTTTTACAATAGTATGGAGCTTTGCGGAAATTTTTACCGCAGATTGTTTCATTCAGAATTTAAGATGACAGGCTCCGAGGAAATACTGTTTATATTGACTCAAATAATTAGGTTTCTCCCCTTAGATTTAGAAATATGTTAAGTGAGTAAATGTTACAGACAGTTCATTGTTTATTGTTCGCTGTAATGAACCTGTACTCCTCAAATTAACGGCATGACAATACCTAAATTCCGAGAAGGGATCATGAATCTTCTCTGAGTTGTAATTCATCATCAGGCAGATCGTTTCATTCCAAAGTTAATATGACAGGCACTGAGGAAATACCGTTTATACTGACTCAAAAAATTAGGTTTCTTCTCTTAGATTTGGAAATACGTCAAGCGAATAAATGAACCTGTACGTCTCAAGTTAACAGCATGACAAAATTTAAATTCCGAGAAGGAATCATGAATCGCCTCAGAGTTATACTTCATCACCCGGCAGATCGTTTCATTCGAAAGTTCAGATGAAAGACTCTGAAGAAATGCTGTACAAACTGACTCACGAAATGTGTCTTCTTTCCCTTAGATTTGGAAATGGGAGTAATGTTGCACACATAGTTGACTATGCTTCGAAGACGTAAACCTGTTTTTAAGCATGAAAAATATTTCAATTCCGAGAAAAAGGGGTCATGATTCGCCACTGAGCCACCACGTCATCAGATCGTCTCATTCCCAAAGTTAAGATGATATGATCTGAGAAGATACTGTATGTACTACCTCAAGTAATTTGTTTTCGACCCTGCAAGAATTCAGCGTAGTTCCGGGAGTCATCTGTGACGTTCGACCGTTTTGTTAACTGAGACATCAGAGGTTTTACAAGGAAAAGCTGAATTTGAAAAGACGGTTTCCAGAGATGATGAATTCATATTTGGCGTGCGCACATCGAAGAGATGTGTATTTGAAAATGCAACTCTTACCTTCATGCTTGCATGGTTACTTGAATTGACGGGCTTGTATGTGAATGAGCCGCCTCGAAAATGAGTACATGCTGTCCTATGTACGTACACAAGGAATACGAGCAAAAGGGCAAACTTTATACCGGTTTCCATAATCAAGCAGTTTACAGGGACATCTTTTGATGCGTGTAGCAAATGTGTGCTTGAAGTTGTAGTTAAGGGAGTGGCTTTTTCTCAGAAAATGGATCGAAAATATCCTTCGACATCACCTGGCAGTCTTGCATGCTTAAACAACTCTATCTGTCAGTACTGATTGGTCAAAAGAAAAAGGGCTTTTATAAGGATTTAACCTTATTGGTTGGCTCGCATGACTTGAACTAATCATATGTTGTTTCAGATGGTCTTTCGTGACACTTGACGAACCAAATCATCGTGGGACTTTTTGATCTTACGGGTTCGCGATTTTCTTTGTTTTAAAAAATAACAAATTTTTGCGGCTCGAGATGACTGAAATTTCGTTGATTTTGAGATTTTCTGTTCCATCAGCTATACAATTACAAGATTATCTAATAATAATTAAATCAATATGTAATTTTATCGATTCGGAGAAAGATAATTCGAATAGTTGATCATATTAATTTTTCATTGTATATAACTCGTTTACTCAGTAAGTTACTGTTATTTTTAATTGAACAGAATCGGCGTGTGTTATCTTGATCGGCCAATCGCACGGATGAGGGACATTGATGGTATCCGCATATCTTGTTGTTGTTCGACAAAGCACCCGCAAGCAATGGTGACATTACCTTGGCAATTCACTGTCGTGGCCTAAGGTTGATGAGATTAATATCCTGTATTTTGGAGGCGCTGTTAATCGCTTGATCCGTTGCGGTCCATTTTCTTTGAAAGCTGCAGCTACTTGCAGGAAGATCTTGGTGCGTTAATATTGTGTTCGACCCTTTGTTGTCGCTGACTGAAGGTTTGCCAAGGGTTGAAGGGCTGAGATCTGATTTACAATCCACTGTTTGAGAAGCCATGTTTGAGGTGACCGGTGGCTGTAAATCTATTTGTGAAGGTTGAGACTAAAGGAATAAAACCCGAATAAGCCAAAACGTCAAGTTGATCAAATAAAGGATTGTCACAAGGATCTTAACAGAACTATGTCATTGATGTAGTTTTAAGACATGCAGTAAATTGCACTGCAAAAGGGACTATATCATGTGAAACTCCAGAAAATTGAGAACTGTTTCTTGATCAATGTTATTAGATTAAGATGATTTTAACTATCTGGTAAACGTTTGGCAGGATGATATTGATATCGCAAACTTTTTTTTCTTAAATTACAATGTTTTCAGATCAGTTGTTCTTCTATATGTTACTTTTCCATCGACGTCCTTTCCAC